AAAAAAACTGAACCACTGGCATCAACGGTATAACTTCTTAATAAAATATATTACTTGAGCAATTGAGCAATTTGTATTGCATGATATGAGATAAGAAAAACATTAATAGTTTGGTTTGTAATTTTGTTACTTTTAGAGTTCTGTCAATATCGAAGACGGCACTGTAAATATTACTCCTCAAACACCTGTGATTATTGTCCCTTCAGCTTCGGCTTTTCAACCAGAAACACCATTATATCCAAATGTAAGTAATTCTACATGTTACAAAGTAACGAAATATAAAATGGTTTATTGATATATGCTGTTCCTCTTTTTGGATAAAAATGGTAAGTTTCTCATTTAATAGTATATTGTGATGTCTAACGTCATTTTAATATATGTTTTGTTGGATAATGTAGAATATACACTATGGATAATATGTATTGTTCTGCTTTTAACATTTTTTCTTTTATTTTTAGAATTGCATGTTAATAAAGACACAGTATGAGGTCGCAAAGAAGGCAGCTAAGACTGGTGAATTGGGGGATTCCCAATTTACAAAAAACTTGGCTGATATTCTTTGGAAGCGTGAAGTGTTGGCACTTCGATCAGTCACTGGTGCACGTCCACGCAAGAAGGAAGAAGCTGGAGCAGAAGACAAGGAAGAGGATGCAAGACCAGCTTGCACACCGGAGAAAAGAGCTTGCATAAAACGTTAGCTACTACAATAATTTTCACTATGCATCATAATTAACACAATTTCCACATAAGCCTTGCAAGAATAATATAGTTATATATTCTCAACTTATATTGATTTGTTGCTTTAAATCTCGTTCTGAACTTTCTTTGAAACGGTTCAGGATATGCCATATAAAACATATATATTTTAAGATGTTTTTTATGTATATCATCATTTTTTCTCTTTTAGAGCTTTTTAATTTTCGTATGGATGAAGAGGAAGTAGAACTGAAGAGAACCTTGATGAAGGAGAATCGCCTTACTCGAGCTTCAAAGATAAATAAATATCTTAAAGCTAAAATCGGAACTGTAAGGTCACAGTTAGGCCTCAAATAAAAACTGCATTGTGCTTAATACTTTTAAAAAGTCAAGTAAGCAATTGTACTTCTAATTATCTCAAATAAAAGTAGATTTTAAATCGATATAATTATCAAACAATCAGTATATACATACACTCCGGCATAGAATACTAATGCGGTAAAATAATTATATTAAGCTTAATGCAATTATTTGTTTATATTCGTACTATGTGTATTTTGTATTTATTCTGATTGACCTTCCTCATGTAGACATCATCTGATTCTAAAATAGAAAGGACATGTTACTTAGGTACATATCTTCATGTCCTTAGCAGGTTGTATACCTTCCACTTTAGGATTATATGTCCTTTAATCCTGAGGTCATGTGGCCTAGGGATATGTTCTTATGTCCTTAAGTCGTATATTCTTGCACCTAAGGTCATATGTCCTTCCAACGTAAGGCTATCTAACAGGTCATATTTTAAGAGCAGATGTCCTAAGGTTGTCCATTTCTGACCTTGGGACATCTGCTCTTAGGACTTATATAAGGACACGTTTTGGACCAGGGT